TGATAAACGTTCTCGTATGCAACAGATTGTTCATATTTAATTGTCCATTGTGAACAATGTAAATATGTAGAGGTGCCCCAGGTGACCTGGGTACCACCGTGACCTGCTATTATTTTCATAACGGTTCCAAATGTTCCCACGGCCTTATAATCCCATATCGCCACCATTTGCATCAGTTCAACAACAAACGCCAATCGCGATATACATGTGCTTAGTAGTTCTCTGTGTTCTTGAGTACTGTGATGTAATTTTCGATCGTTCTAAAGTATCGGAACTACTGGCAGTGTTAAGTGTGTATTTTCTAGTACAAATTATTCTATTTATTGTGTATTAAAGTGTAAAGGAAGTGTAGTGGTTTGATACTCGAAAAATTGGATAAATTTCGTTGCCACAGATGCTGGAAGGGCATATTGGATACGATATCGTATATGCGAGGTATATTTAAATGTGTTATTTTTTTGACGTTTTTCTTCCAATAAAGTTCGACCTCTAAGTAGCTATTGTTTGGTGAAGAAATTCTCTTTGAGAAATTGTTTCTTATTTTATTAACTTTGATATACTAACGAATTTTAGTTTCAGAGTACACTTTTTTCGTTATAGTATCTATTATTCCATTTAATATCCCTTACAATGTTTTATGAGGAATCGTCGCGATGTTTAGTGTGCTTTGTATTAATTTTTAAATAATTTTTTATAACCTGTCCATCATTCAACTGTCCAAATTGATAAACAATAAAATACAGGCAAATATTCGGTGTCCTTACAGTAGAACGGTGAGCACATTTCGGGTTAGTGTCAGAGTTATTAAATTCTATTCATAATTTCTGTCATTACTCTATACGAAACAACATACAATTTCTAAATAACATTGACCATCCTGTAATTACAATTTATAACAAAGCAATAAGGTAAAAATATACAGGAACATATATTTATATTTTTACTAGCAAAAATACAAACATTAACAACCTAAATAACATTTACAATTCTGTAAATAAAATTTATAGCAGAGTAATAATGGAAACGATTACTGTACAAGTCAACAGGTACATATATTTATATTTTCACTAGCAAAAATCGAAACAACAATCGATCGTACAGGAAAATGTTATTCAGGAGCAATTTTATTCATAATATTACATTCATTAGTAAATGTATCACCGTATGCAGGCAACACAGAGCGGTATCGTACACGAGAATGCTTTCCCGTGACGCCAATGGACAAAAATGTGTCGCGGACCATTTTCCGACTGGCTCAGGGAAAGTTTCCCGTTTCGTTGCGACAAACACGACGGACCTTGACTCGCGGAAATTGTGCGAAGCACCGAGGCGACCGGATTACTGTGAAATTATTTAAAGTTACGGAACCGGCGGTAATAATCGCCGAAATGAAATGTCACAGTCTGGGAAACGTTGTTCTCGGATTGTACGATAAAACGATTTACCGGCACGCCCGACGATAGGAGCGGAAGAATCGTTCGTCGGGCTGAAAGGCTTTCACTAATTCATAACGACATTCATCGACGATTTATTTCGAGGAATGGGCTACAAAACTCGTAACGGTTATTCCATACTCGCGCCGATACGCTCGGAAAAATCTTCCGAATCCGGAAACAACTTCACGAAAATCTCGAGTATAATCGACGAAATTTACAGTAGAAAATACGAAAACAGATACGATGGAGCAATAAAATTGGTGGTATTTTGAAAATATCTATGGAATTGAAGATGACTTCATAAAAAAATTTACCTATAAAAAAATTTTTTAATTTTCCCTCTTATTCAACAGCTCAAAGGTATGTAACCCCTTAAATAACGTACAATAACAGTTTGTATTTGCGAATTGTTCGCAGAAGTGGGCGTGTCAATCTTTTTCACAAAATTCTGACCAAAATACAACTTCCTATACCTTCTCATTTACACAAATCTGTACGAATAGTGCATCGAAAAGATCCAACGTGCCAGTATTTACACGGTTCACAGATTGCAACATAAAATTGCGTTTAAATATGTACAGATCTGCGGAACGTTTGCATTTAGGACCCTGTAACGTTGGCAATAAATAGAGAACCTTGAAACGCGAGTTGTACCACTTGTATAATATTCTGCACAAAAGCCAGTATACAACGCTAAACAGAATTACGACCGTGTGCATATTTCGAATATTAAATTAATAACCAGGCGAATCTGTGATAAATAAAGTATATTTTGTGAAAATGTTTATTCGTATTTTTGCTCATTGTCGGACGGGCCAATGGCGAACTTACTATCCTTTAATAAAAGCGTATTTTTTTTATTATTGCATTCGGTATATCTTCACAGACTTTGGTAAAAATTATATTGACAATACGGCTTTATTATAGGCGTCGAAAAAATACAGACTTCAATAGCATTCACAACAATGCAAACCTTTCTGTTGACCGTAATTAAGGATAAAACTAAATTAAGGATGAAATATGGGTTTACTCGAATAACAACAATTCTTTTGTAATTGGTTAATTTTTCTACTTACACGGTAAAAAACCACGATAGTAACTCTTAAGTGATGTACCGAATAATTTCACAATTCTTTATATCTACAATAATATCTAAGTTCATTTCTGGAATATGACGCAGTCGTGTGCCTAACAATGGACAACGTAAAAGTCAACCGCCCCAAAGCGAATAAAATAGTAACAGCTCGAACAAGCAACGACTCTCGCGGGATCAATCTAGGTCAGTACCATGTTTCATACGTTTCTGTTCTCGCATTTAAAACAAAAAGCGTTCGTCATGAAAAGGTATGGTGGGTTGTAACAGTTCTTTCACCTTTCCCGCACTCAGCGCCACCATTTTGTTTCCGCGGAAGAATCGCTTCGCGGCTTATTATCAGATGTAATTTCTCGTACCTCGATCAGCAAAAGCTGTAACAATATTTACTAAAAAAAAAACGATTTATTTGCTATAACATTGGAAATATTCGAATAATAGTATGTATATAGTTATTTATTATACTTTTTTAAAGTTTCGTACATACGGTTTTCTTTTGCATAATTTTCTTATAGTAGGCTATAAATGCACGAAATACGCAGTCTAATTATTAGTGGATCAGCGCAAAAGTTTTGATGGGTTTAGCACTAAAAGAGTGGACTAACAATTATTTTAATTGTAACTTCATAATAATTAGTGAAATACATAATGATTCTTTTAAAATTTGTATTCTACTAAACAAGTTTGTGGAATACTATTATAATATACTGAATTTATAAATTCAATTATATTAATGTACTTACATTTTAACACAGAGTGGAATTAACACAAAAACATCTCTAAAGTGGTCACAAATATTTTTTACAATGTTTATAACGTTTATTCCTCTCATTTTAAAATTTATATTAAACAATAAAACACACTCAATCGCGTCAATTTTTGTTCTGAACCACAATTTACTGTATTACATTGACAACGACACATAACATATTAACATAATACTTCATTATTTCCACAAAACCACGAAGATAGTATCATCCGCAGAAAACACATCAAAACTTTTGCACTGACTCAATACTTGCATATCAAATGTTTTTCACCAAATAATTTTAAGGTGTCGGTCACCCGTAACCACAATGCCAATCAACGTTGCAGTACCTCCATTATCCACTGAAACGTATCAAAATCTTTTTACTATCGTCACACAAATTACTGATAAAAAGCTTCTTATTAATAACCACATTAAAATTCTTCCTTGTCGGAATACGATCGCAACAACCAAATCTTATGAAATCCAGAGTATCAAACGACCAGAAACGAAACTGTGGTTTGAATTAAAGCAAAATGTACAGAACGCCTCTACCAGTGCGTCAAATGAATTCACAAACGAGAGCTCCGTGGAAGCAAAAGCATTTATTACCAAGTACACGGACATTTCCAATCTTATCCAGAGGTATAGCTGCGCCGTGGTCCCCGGTTAATTCGCCAGGTTTCATTACTCGGATGCTTTTACCGGCCAGTCAAGCGATACACTAGAGCGCAACAGCGTGTCCCCCCTCCGCTGAATCGACTCGAGCCCCACAATTAATTCGACTGTTTTCCTTCGACCGAGCCTCCAATATCTGATTTCAATATCCCGGGGAATATCTAGAGGAACAATGACACGAGTCTGTAGACCTCCGGTTCAATGTGCCCCGATATACAGGGTGCAACAAAAATGTTAGAGAGCCCGGAAATGGGAGATGTAGGTCCATGTATTCGTCACGAAATGCGCTTTCGCAACTACCTGAATGAAAACGTGTAGGTCCATTTAAAAAAAAAAACAAAGGTCACTTTGAAATCTCGAAGGCACGAGATAAGATTTCTGATGATCATACAAGATGTCCCTCTCGTAAGAAAATAAGTTCTATTTGCAGTTGTTCAAACGGGACACCCTATATACACACTGGAATACAGATATTTCTCGACGATTTTTAATTTCGAGCATCCGAAATAAACAAGCCGTTGCCCCCTCGCGGCGTGCTACCTGTCAGACGTCGAGGGGTAAAAAATTATGTCAGAGATCCGTCCCAACCGTCGTTGGTATTTCAGAAAAAATGTGGACAAATCCTCGGCGAGGATTTCTGGAACTCAGTGAAACGATATAACAGCTACATCCCGGGATGGACGTGTTTCCCTAAATATGATGTTTTTTTTTTTTTTTTGTTAGCCTCGCTGACCTAGATCGAACAGCAGACACGGTATATGTATCCGTTTGTTTTGCAAAACGGCACGTACCTGTGTATTTAACTTTGAAATGGAAACCCTGGTTACGGGAATGGTTGAAAATATAATCTTTCCCCTCTCCCCCTGCCGAGGAACAAACGGTTCTCGCCAGTTTTTCGCCTGAAAGAATTCACTGTTGATGGATTTCATGGCATTTAATTTTATGGAATCATTAATCACTGAAATTACATTCTATCGTGGTACTAGTGAATTTTTTATTCTGTTTGGAAGTTTATGATTTTTCTGACGGAGGATTTTTGTTTCAGGAATTCAACGTCGCCAAGGAAAAACACGCTGTGCAACCGTGCTCCTCCGTGGTAGTCGAGTCGGGTGAGAATTCTTATTTTCTTTTATTAGTCTACTATTGTTCTTCAATTGTTTCCGTTCTAATATTATTTTGTTCGTGAAATTTATTCTAATACTAACTAAAAGGCGAACGCGTTAAAGGACTTGCATATAGGGATCGGGTTGTTAAGAAATAAAGTTATTTATTGTTGAAAGCATACAATTTGAAACAAAAATATTTCACGTATTATTAATTTATACGTTAATGAAATTTTTTACCAAAAATTTGTACATAGATCAAATCACTGAACAATGGGAAAATGCGTAGTTTAGCCAGTGAGAAATTAAGGCGTTAATTTTCTTAAAGGGGTAATCTTCTTTATGGATTATGAACATCTACAGGTGGTGTAGAGTACACAGGCGAAATTTTAATTCTTGATATCAAAGGTGAAGGGAGTAGTACTTACCACAAAAGTGTAAGAAATGGCCTGTTATGGACTCGCTTTGCTCGTCCAAATACTCTATTATTGAATTTGAATTTGATGGAATAGGAAACAAGTGATTGTGTTCTTTCCAATTTGAAACATTTTCCTAATATAAACGTTATCCGTTTATTCGTAATTTTCTCGTTTCACATGTCAATCATCGATTCATGTTCATACAATGTACATACAATATACCGTTAATAATTTTGTACACTCCGTTGAATTTATTTGTAAGCATAATACTGTGAGCGTTTATACAAATTCATAATTTTATATGGGAATTTGTAAAATGGTAAAATTAAATAGAAATTTATTTTCTCTGGCAGAGAACGAAATAGATTCCTTAATAAAATATTAATTAAAGTTTTCATTTCTTCGCGTTGTTGCAACTGCTATAAACAAATAAAATTCGGAGTGCATTTACAGAAGTGTAAACCTGCAGTGAAAATTATAAAAATACGAGAGGAACCTATGTGAAAAGAGGATTATATATTTTCGTAATTGCTATAAACAAATAAAATTCGGAGTGCATTTACAGAAGTGTAAACCTGCAGTGAAAATTATAAAAATACGAGAGGAACCTAAGTGAAAAGAGGATTAAATATTTTCGTAATTGCTATAAATAAATAAAACTCGGAGTGTAGTTGCAAAAGTGTAAAATTGCAGTGAAAAGTACAAAAATACGGGAGAATTTAAGTAAAAAGCGGATTGAATATAATTCACAAGAATTTTCCTAATTAGACCGATGACCTAAATGTATTGCAGGTTGGAGGACCATCTATTGCGATGCGAGACAGCAATAGATGCAATTTAGATAATAATTTTCCCCGTATATATATTAACGATCAAGTTAGTTTCCATCAGATAAAAATTCGCCCAATCCTGTTGCGCGCCAACTAATCCTCACTCGTTGCCGCGCATCAGAATGGGGCTAAAACGTGCACAGAATGCAAAAGCTATCCCGTCGCTCGGCCCTGCATTCGATCGAAATTGTAATCCTGCAAGTAGATATCTTCGTAAACACAGAACGGAATGAAAAATTGTAATTAGACCGAAAAATCAATTCATTTCGATAACAGTTTTTATTACTTTTAATATTCATATATTTCTATTCAAAATTATTACGTTCCTTATCAAAGTTTTTCATTAATAGGTCTCTACATTTCAACTAATTATTCACAAATTTCCCATATTTTCTTTTACTCCTTTGTCCTCAAAATTCATACATGAAATGTGTTAAGGGCATACTCTGCAATCAGTAAAAATCAATTTCTGTATTAAAATATGAAACGTGAAATAGCAAACATCCACCTAAACGATCAACCGAGAAAGCTTTATGCAAAATGGTATTTCACAAAGCAATTTATAAAGGCTGTAGTTAAAATAACAAAATTCTTCCTTCACGTTGAAAATATGTTCAGGCTAACAGGTGACTAGAATTCTTCTCGCTTAATAGACACATTTTTCCGCCGTATAATTGACACGAAATTAGATCCACCAGTTCCTAGAACTACCTCCACGGAGCGAGCGCCCACACTTTGCTACGCATCGTAAAACAGCTATTTGAATCTTTTTCTGTATTTCACCTACACTGAACGTAATAACAGTCGGCAATTCCTGGAACCTCCCATTCCACGGATAACTGTAGCAACATGAACCTGATCTTGCGTCAATTAAGCTGAGAAAATTGTATATCTAGTGTCTCAAGAGAGGAAGGAGATCCTATAGGAAAAAATAAATCTAGAGATAGAAGTTAAATTTTTTCGAAGGATGCTTCGTTTTCGAGATAATCGAACTTGAAAATTTGTTGGATACACGGGCAGTAGAATAGTGACTTGCGTCTGTTCATTGCAGACCGTTTCTACTTATTACCAGCACAAATACACGGGTTTTAGGTAAATGTTCAAACACAATTTTCTCGAATACGAACCTTAAAATTTATTCTTCTTTTTCGACTTATTTTTTCTTGTAGAATCACCTCTTGCCCGGTTATACTACTCAGTTTGAAACACACCTTATATACAGAGTTAATCACAAGAAACAGAATACCTTAATACCTCTGTTGGGACTGAAGATTTCAAAAGAGAATATGTTCCAGACTATGTCAAGAATATATTCAAAAATTGTATTATTGAAGAGGGCAAATACGGTGATATAAACAAACTTTTTGTTTAATGTTATTTTCAAAATTATCTGAAGGTCACCGACATTTTTTTCTTAAATGGTATCATACAGTTTTAACTTTATAAAGTTGTAGCTGACGTCAAGACGAGTTCAGCAACGTTGGATACTGTGACCTTGAAATGACCTTCGATTCAGAAATCAAGGTTCGATCAACGGAAACATTGACACGTGTAATTCGGTTTCTCAGGCCATAAATTTGCATTCCTTACGACAATGTCTGTTACTGAAATTTCAATTGATTTGAACATTTCAATTTGAAACACCACTTCGTAGCCTTACAAAACGATTAAACGCTTGTATCTTTACGGAAAGTTCACGCTTCGAACATTCACTTTCATCTAAATAAAATAATTTATTATTTTAAAGCAGGAAGCCTGCCGCACCAGAGTCGCAGCTACCCTGGCGGAAGTGGCGGAAGCGGAGGGAGCACGGGTCGGTTGCTCACCAGAAATTCATCCGTCAGCTCGCAGAGTTCCGTCGAGGGACAACAACAGCAGCAGCAGCAAAGTCATCGGAGCACGTCGCATATTCGGGCGTTCGGGCCTGACGGGCGTCATCATCACTATCATCATCATCATCGCGACCCGTTGCACGCTGCCTCCTCCTATCCGCCGAGCAGAAGTTCAAGGTCAGATATTCCATCGTAAATGATAATCGTCTCCTTTAACCCGCCCACTGCATCTTTTTGATATCTTGTACAAAAATGTTTTTAGGACTCAAAGTCAGTCGGGGATAGTTAACTGTAACCGAGATAAAATTAAGGGAAACGCGGAGACAAAATGATCATGGTTTCAATTTCAAATGGTATAGAAAAATGCCATTTAAATTCTGAATTATCTTTTTTATAAGTACCTTATTACACAATTGTAATTCAGTGACCATGAGCTTCCAAACTATTTCTTTTTACTGGAAACATGAAATAATAATTCTAAAGACATCTGCTATTCGGCAACAAAGTGACTCAAATTTTCACTATTAGTACAATATCATAAAATACATTTATTTTCACTATTGAGAATGTGTATAAATATTCACATCTGAACTTGTGTAGTCATTACTTCTCGATCATTATTTTATTTACCAGATTGTAAATTTTACTGCTTAGATACTGATTATTTTCCAACATAATCCAATCCTACCGATGAACGATAACTAACACCCCAATTAACGTGTCAATTAAATTCAATGCAGTAATTACCAATCTATTAATGAGGCCATCCCTCAAAACTGCATTCCAAGTGATGATTGAGCACAGATCGAGCAAACCGAGATTCAATATTTCTCCTATCACTTAGAATCCAAATTCCTCACGATCAAAGAGTAGGATAGAAATTCGTGAATTCCATTCGAAATCGAACATATTAAAATTCCTTCGATTATCCCAATTCACAGTCGACAAATTGTCCGTGTTCGAGCATCCAATAACAGGTCCCTAGCTCACGATAACGCCGCATTAACGCGATATCGCGGAACGGAAAGAACAGCTTTCACGATGCGGACAAATGGCCGATGTATAAATATCGACATTACGCCGCACAGTGAACGAGAATGGCGATCTAGCTGAATTTAATTCGAGGGACTCGATTGACATGTCTAATGGGAAAATACTTGTATGCGATAAATTTATTTGAGTACTTATTTTTAAATATTTTTTTGTTTCAAGAAATTTTACTTAAATTTATTGTTTTCATATTTATTAGTTTTAAAACGTTTAAATTTACAAAAACAAACTTCAAGGAATCATAGGTATTAGCCTTTTGCTGCAGCAAAGGTTTTCTAACATCCTCGGTCCTGAATGGGCAAAAGGAAGCACATGATATTTATAAATGATATTTAATGTTTGAATTAACAAAATTACCGTGAATACACGAAGATACAGTTTTTTTTACTTTTTCAAAGTCTAACACTGGATACAGTATAATGGAACTGGTTTTGAATTTCAAAATCTGAGTTTTAAGCCATTTTGTTTATTTTAATAATTTTTGGTTCCGACGATAACAACACTCATTGATTAAAAATCAATTTGAATTTTTTTATTCTGATGCTTCGTTCTCCCGAAATCACCTACGCCAGCACAACATAATTTTTTCAAGTTACTCACTTCGATTCAATATATATAAATAAAAACTATTGAAAATTTCTAAAAGAAAAGTTGTTATACTCTCAATAAGTGTAGTAATAGACAACATTTCATTTATATTGAACATTTCGTTCACGGAGAAAAGAATTCCCAAGAAATAACAAATTTTCAGGGCTTCGCAGTGGCATTACCCCTTAAATTTAGCTAGATTGCCATTCTGGCCCACTGTGCTGGTGGGCAACACAGCTGTCGATCGTCTCCCGTTCGAGTTTCCGTTTTCCTCGTGGTCGGCCGCGAATTCCGTGCGTTCCGAAAGTAATTATTGGACGATTCTGACCGCAATACAACAGTTTACCTTGACTGGACGAATGATGGGAGGGGGGAATCGGGTATCGCGCGTCTCGATCCCCGTGAAAATGGATTCGTTCGTTTCGAGCCCCGCCCGGACCGGAAGTTCCCCGCCTCGACCCGGAAACTCGACGTTTCGTAACAACAGCGGGACACGATTTCGCCGTAAATCCGATTCCATCCGGAAAGTTCATAATTCGTGTCCTCTGACCACTTACTGTGACACGGGGATTTCGCTATAGTTATTATTATTACATTTTATGCCACGTAGAACACGTCTGTCGGCTACGGTTCCGATATTCTGTTTCGGGGAACATCTACCGTTCTATTAACATAGTTAAGCGTCTATCGGAGAATTCAAAATTCCGCTCCATTTTAATTTTCAGATATTAGTGTCTGAAATTTTGCTTTCGCATAAACTGTTGTAGTCTACTAATTAATAACTAAGATACAGGCCAAAAATCTTTTACATATTCGGAGTACATTATGACGATTTTACCAAGAAACCAACCTAAAATTTTTAAGTCTTATATATTGTGGTTCGAATAAAAACGAAGAAATAATGTTTCTCCAGAAAAGGATAGATTATATTTCCTGGAACAAAAAGTTGGTTCCTTTTTTTTTTTTGTAACCACAATACATAAGGTTTCCAAATTTTAGGATGGTCTTGTAGTTATGCCAGGCAGTATAGTAAGTTATCGTGTGCCATGCACGAAAATCCTTGAACACACACACAGATCACCGTCACCGGGCCGGGCTGCCTCTTTGGACGCACGATGCGGAAACCCAGCCAGTTGTTCCGGAAGTCTTCTGAGCAGCAACGCGTCACGGTCCCAGAGCTCCCTGTCGTCCCTGGCAACAGGTGTGAGCTCCTCTTGCGGAGGCTCCTCGATCAGCGTTGCCCACGGTGCTTCGAGATCAGCTGGCCGAAGTCTATCGCCTCTTCTTATACCGCCGATACGTGCTTCTGGAAGGTGAGTAGAGCCCTCTTGAACAGTCCCGCGACCGGATTATACTCGAAATCTCCTTAACGCTCGCTGCACCCTCCTTTATGGTTGAATTTTTCATTGCACACCGCAGCTTAGTATCGACGATCTTAAATCGATAATAGTCGACTGCAATGTTTATAACATCACCTGCAGTGATTTTTAGTCTGTTAAACGTTAAATTACTGATCGACTGTAGTATGAATTTATACTAATTCTGAGAGTTTTTCCATAAAATAAACGATTAATCATTTTCAGTTACAATTTGATTATGTTATGCAGAAAGCTACCAACCCTGAATGATCTACAATAAAGTACACTCAGTTTAAAGATTTTAATTTAAAAAAGAATTATTTTCATTTCTATTAGGTATATTTTACTTCTTGTTATTGTTTTATAATGGTTTTTAATTGTTTATGTAATAGTGAGTAGTATAATTAATATTATTTTTAATTTTCTATAGTCAATTTTAATTTTGTTCTAAGTTTTCTATGGCGTGGCAGTTTTAATAATGTAGGTAAATTTTTGCAAAATAGAGACTTAGAAATTTAATTAATTTTTTAAGGATTGGTCGATTTCTCCAGAACGTGGCCCAATTATTCATATTACCAGGAATGTATTAAAACACTGAATATTTCTGTTCAGCTTAGGTTTGCTTATCGTATATGTTCACTTTCAATTTACGTAAACATTATTACGAATCTCTTGTTTCAGTGTGGATATATTATTTTACTGTTTAATGAAAAATGTTGCTATTGTCACTTTTTCATGCAACAGCGAGGGTGGACCACCACCTCCAGCTTCGCCTCTGGGTTCCCTACAGCCTGATCTCTATCAACGAAGGGACGGACCAATTTTCCTCAAGTCTCACGGGTTCGCATACAATATTCTTTTGTTTCTTACTTCTGCTAGTACCAGAATGCACCTGCTTTCTTGTATAGAACTTCGATATTTCAGCGGATATGGATAACAGACGTCACTGAATACAGAAAATGTCCCGTTCAGTTTCCTCGCAAGAATTTTTCTAGAAACTGTGACATTCGAATGATTTTCATTCTAAATAGAAAAGGAAAGATCTGAAAAGAAGAAATACAACTCGATCATCGGAGCATAACGCATCACTGAGAAATCTTTCTTGTGTGCAATCAGTCGAAAGAAAAATATATGTAATGTACTTCTCGAAAAATATTAGAACAGGAAATATTAATTTAGCTAAAGTAAATTTACGTGAATGATTTTAGACATGTATATAATATTCCCTCTTTATAATTCTACTGTTTCGTCCTCTGTATATGGTATGGCATAACAACTTGAATAAAAACAGTGAAATTTGTTTTGCTCTCACCATTATGAAAAAAAAGAGGAAAAACGAAGCAGAAACGAGACTAAAGCAACAATAACGATGGCAGAATTACAGTAGCGGAGGAAAAAGTTACCATTTTTCTCATTTTTTATATTTCTATTATTTCTCAACATGAACTTAAAAGCTTAATATATTGGGTTTTATGCATCTTTTAATTCTCTATCAGAATATAAACACGGGCTAAAGTTTTAAGTTGATGTTAAAAAATAATAGAAAGAAAATAAATTGAAAAAGTGGTAACTATTTTTGTCTGCTACCGTATCTCCGCTTCTCTACAAGTGCGCTCCAAGTCCCAATCGATATGCCTGTAGCAAGGGAATACTAAAAGTAACACAAGAATCCCAAACATTCATTTTCTTTTTATTAAAATCTCCAATAATGTCGTATTTTCTACCATGTCAACGTTCTGTTATCCTCGTAAAACAGGAGATCGTCCTGTAAATACCCGATTATCGGCCATTTTCGTCGGATCCCCGCGAATTCAATCGTTTACTCAGCGAGAAACACGAATTTGCATGCACACGCTGTCCAATTAAGCAGGCGTTTTACATTGAAATTAATAGGGTATCTGTTGCGTTAATGCGTGCCCCCTAACTGTATTGATCGAAGGATTAATCGCGAGCGTATCTCACGATGGAAACGAATTAAATCGCAGGCTTTCGTATCCGACCGCTCTAGGCCCGTTAATTCAATCCTTTGAGATACTACAGCGGGAATGAGCGAAACGCGTGTGCACGCAGGTCCGACGATAATTATCCAAAGTATATTAGATTTGCGTTGTCATGCTTTTCGAAACACAACGAACGGCAGTTAACATTGCACAACTTCGTTAAGAGGATTAGGCAGTGAAATTTGGTAAAAATATAACTTTTCTTTAAAAATCAATTACAAGGGAATGAATACAAATTGTGACTAGTATGTTTGAGCAATATTTATTAATACTATAACCTGTTAAAAAAATGTTTTTGGATTATATACACATGTACAGGGTGTCCCAAAAAGATGGGACAATCCACAAGATACATATTCCTCATGCAAATACAAATCGAAAAGTCCTTTGCCATTTTGTAATCTGAAGCTCTATTTCTGAGATATTAGGTTAATAGTGGGCCACATGTAGTATGCGCAGACACAGTAAAGAAGCAGAGGTCAGTGACCTAGGTCGTGCGTTTCTTGACTGTGTCTGCTGCGTGCATGCATATGTATATACATATAGATAGATAAATACTAATTACTAACTATTCATACCAATAAGGAAATAATATAATTTCAGGAATGGGAAGTGTCTAGGTCGACTGCATTTGCAGTTCAAATACGACTTCAATCGATCGGATCTTCACGTTCACCTGATCGAAGCACACGATCTAGCTGGCAGCGATCAAGGGGGATTCAACGATCCTTACGTGAAGCTTACCCTCAGTCCTGAGGTGGATGCGAGGAAACGACAGACACAGATATATCGTAACGAGGCGAATCCGTTCTTCGATCAGCAATTCAAATTCCCCGTCAGCCACGATGATTTCCACGACAAAATCCTTCTTCTGCAGGCAATTGACACGAACATTATTTATTCGATGATCCTCGAATCACGACCTATGAGCATAATGTATATACAGGGTGGTTCACTTAACTTGACGATCACATAAAAATATGGAAGAATATACGTATCGTAAATGACCGAAATATTAAGACAGTTGTACATTAACAACAATAATCTTGTTATATACTTTCATTCTGGCCAAGAAAATTAATCTATACACAAGAATTTCTTCGTTGAATACTTTCCAAGTGCCTAAGTTAAATGAAACACCCATATATACATATTTCTTTTACATTATTCACGTAATGTGAATATCTGCAGTCAAATAATATCATTATAATTTGATGTATCATCAAAGTCACCTTCAATTTTCTGATAGACAATTGCATAGTTTTTGCTCACGTCATGACAGCATGCAACTAGATAAGACGAACCAGTTTGACAGTCGTCCATAATGAAACAAGTTTCACTACGTCACTAATAACAAAACCAATGACAGTGAACGAATTATACGGTTCATCCTACATGTAAATTTTTGCTTCCATACAACAGGTGTTGGACTACGACCGGTTCTCCAGAAACGACGTGGTAGGTTCCGTTAAAGTACCTCTACACATCCTGCGATTAGACTCCCCATCATCGACGGAGGAAATTTGGGGCGAAATTGAACGCGAACGGAAGCCACCGGAACAAATACAAGAAGTTCTACTCTCGTTGTCTTATCTACCGAGCGCCGAACGATTAAAAGTCGTCATCGTGAAGGCGAGGAATCTATTTCCGCCCCAGGTAACATCTCTTGTCCGTGTATGTCCTTTACATCCTCTTTTACTTCTCATCCTACAATAATTATGTCCAATATACTTTTGTAGCAAGTTAATCCTTCTCTTTTCTATCTTTTTGACCTAAAAGTTAACTTCTCATTCATAAAATATACACGGTGCCATGTAACTGGTGGTACAACTGGGTAGGAATGATTCTACGTGAAGGATTAAATCGAAAATCTAGAACAAAATTTTATCATTTGAAACTTCGTTTTCGAGATAATTGAACTTAAAAATTTTTCTAGGAAACGAAATGTCAAACGTAAAAAATTATCATGCGGTAATGGCCAGACAAATAAAATAGGTCGTTAATGTTCGGGCAAATAAAATATAATATTAATGACCAGACAAGTAAAATACGTCGTTAATGGTCAGACAAGTAAAATAGGCAGTTCGTAGTCAGGCAAGGGAAATAGATACTTACTGGTCAAACGAGAAAAATAAAGTTAAGGAAAGTACGCTATTATCTACAGATTGATCGGTATTTTCATGCAATATTGTTATTTACCTCTCGTTAAGTGTTATTCACGCGAGAAGGAAGGTAGCTGGTCATGCAGACGGAATTTTTAATTGTCACATTTATGGTAACCATACGATTCATATTAAGCAAGAAAAGGAGACCCTGGATTCCTTCGTGAAGGTGAATCTTCTGTGCGCGGAAAAACGGATAAAGAAGAAAACCGCTGTAAAGAAAGCGACGACCAGTCCTATTTGGAATGAGGCGATGTCCTTTGACGTACCTGCTAATTCGCTTCCGTCATCCGCCATTGAAGTAAGCACATTCTTTTACGCTACAATATAATTTTACCTTTTATTTCTCAGTGAAATCTTCAAATATCTTTTTAGAAAAGTAATAATGCTGCAATAGCTGCTCTATCTGCAGAAATTGGAACTTCATTAGTAGTCTTTGAGACTATTTATTGTTAGTTAATTTTATTTGTATCTTGTTATATATTTTCATACTTACATTTTTCATTAATACTCATGTTCCTACAGCCGGATCCTCGGTGACACGTCGATGAGCACAATTACATATACAGTCTATAATTTGTTGTTATCGGTGACAATTACCCTAGACACAAGTTTCGACGGTCTGTACTCAGAGAATTGATTTCCCTGAGATGTATTTGTTCTCATAGTTATTTGACCTTCTTATTTTTCGTTTGTAGACTCCCATTCATAAATATTAGGGCGTCTGGTCCTAATAAAATTTCATATTTTGAGCAATTTTTATTACTTCAAATTAGCGCAAGTGTTGCCCAGCGAGCTTTAACCTCCTGTAAACAATATTGCTTTCAGACCTTCAACAATTTCGCAATGCCTAATTACATCCATCCCATATTCGACAGACATTCCAACACGTATGAGTGTACATACTTACTTACTTTCGTGTCTTTACATATTTTACATCTCAAGAAAAATGCAGTTACTTTTTCCAACATACAAGGATCTAAATCTCATGAACGAATTGTTCTAATTATAAGCCTCTTAAAAGCTAATTGGCATATTCGCTGAAAAGAAAACGAAAAATGTGAAAATTCATTTGGGTTTTCACGATGTAATTACGAAACGTTTTTTCACGTTGCAGCGCGCGAGCTTTAAAAGAATTCCCCTCGGTCCGGATCGATATTACAAGCACGTCGATCGGCACACTCCGTGTTCATTCCATTTGCATTTTTACGCGGGAACTGGCTCTCGGCGAGAATAACCACTTCCCTTCGGCATAATTAGCCCGGAAGCGGTTCTTAATACTGGCACCCAAGGCGAACGTTCTTGCCTCCTCCCCGTTCGCCCGAACTCATCGTCGTTGAAACCCCTTTCGTGGAAAATTATTATTTAATTCGAGGGTTCGCAAATCGATGCGCTCTCGACGAAACGCCAGAAGGACGCGGACGGCCGATTACGCCCCCGTTAGCGAGAGAGGAAGCAGGCGGGTTTTCATCGACACGGGAAAAATTTAATTTGTAAAGTTTATGCCGTGAAACGTAATTTCCTTCCCTCCTTCACGCCCACCCCCCTTTTTTTCTCGCGAGAATTTTCCAAATATCGGCGCAAAAAATGCACCGAAAGCCATTGAAGCTGGAATGGATTTCGATTACTCACTTCGATGTTAATTTCTTTTCTATCCCCCTCGAAAGAGGTTAATTACCGCCGTTTTATTAAATTTAGAGTTGAAATTCATAAAACGTTTAACGTAGAATCGGTTTTATTGAATTATTAAAAATTCGTTCGTTTATTTATTTATTCGCTTGAAAAACAAACTTTAATAAATTTACTGCACATTTTTTTCAGAGTACTCGACAAAATAACGAATTTCAGATTTTTTATTTTACGATTACTGAAATCCTACAGATACTTTCATTGGAGTTTATGTCGACCTTTATGTTCTTATACACTTTATATTATACTATACTAAGCTATATTATATTATATATTACACATACTTATAAATTACACAATTTAACTCGGCATACATTTAATACCGGTAGTGCTAGTATTAAAAAACAAAGTAACGCGTGTCTGTCTACGTAGTGTCTTTTTCACATGTGGCAGTCAACGTGTTAGGGAGTGAAGTGGTTTCACCTTAAAGAATCGAATATCAACAATTCCATTGAGGTTCCCTACAAAACTGCAAAATTAAAAGAAAAAATCGGATTTTTCAGGATGTGGAAGTTCCCTTGTGAGCATGCTCCATCGGCGTGTCACGCGGTAGCCAAACTGTTAAAACGTTCAAACGTGCAATCCAACCACCACGGATCCAAAGTCAATCGTACAAAACATGCGTACAATTCACTCGATTCGTTCGTATCGATCTTAAGAAAGCTCTGAATTCATCATGTTTAGATACTAATAGATCATGTTAGATACTACAAAACATATTTGAGATACTGAATCATGGGTTTCCTTAAGGTGCGGGTGATGGACTCGAGTAACGAGATCGTTGGATCGTGCATCATCGGCCCGGCGACGGGCGCCACGCCGGGTCTGGAGGGTAGCGGCAGCCACGGACGGGAGCACTGGCTGCACATGACACAGTCGCCAAGAGAGACGATCGCTATGTGGCACACATTGCACTAAATTTCGCCGTGACGATCACCGGGGGAAACGCGGGGAATCCTCGGCCACGGGGTCCTCCGCCTTTCAGCGAGGGGAAATCCAGGCCGCGTGGGCGACAGGCGTACAATCAAGTTTCTAGGATAAATGATCGGTAAACGGTATATGTAAGCAAAATAGAGCCGTGTTATATGTGTGGAAACCGCTTCTATGGATGTACTGTCGAAACCACTATCGGAAACAAATTTTCGAAACCACTAAACTGATATAGGGCGTCTAAATTTCTACGAATACTGCATTAAGCGAGCTCCAATCACACACGCGCTATCCCTGTCGATCGTCCGTTTCACTTGTTCAACCGAGGTACATATAGGGTGGGCTGAATGTAGGTATGTACGCAGTTATTGATCAACCTTAACTACCTCCGTTATTTACAGAGATATCGAAAGAGTTTATTCTCGAAAGGTATTCAGTATTGAAATACTTATTTACTAACTGATAAGACGCATTTCCCTTGCACCATTATTTTCCCTAGCGGAGTTTGCTCCTGATGGTACAGACGCACTTTCCGATCAACTCAACTATCCCCGTTACGTTTAAGGACATCAAAAAAATGTATTTCCAAGTTATTTGCTGTTGAAACATTTCATTAAAATTATATTATATGCACCACACTTTCTGCGATGAAAAATATACGAGTTCAAGGCAACACCGTATGTATCCCGTTCCTTGCTAGGCGACAGAATGGGAATGCACACACGTGTGTGAGAAATACGTATGAACAAGGGGCGGGTCCCTATTCTTGCATTAAATAAGCTCACAATTATGGAATGTCTACTGTATTTCACTAAGCCAGACTTTTCCATTCATGGGAATGTGTTTCGAGACTCGAGCTCGTTTATCTCGCTACGATAAATCGCGAGACGGCCGCGTGAACTTGGCCCCAGATTCGCGAGGTGGCAGGCGTGTGACACGGGAAGCGTGTAGGAATCCAACCAGCCAGCTACGCTTCGCGTGACATATCCGTGCGAGTTTCGTCGGTTCTGTCGTTTGCCGCTCCCCGGCCCCGAGACTTACGCAATCACGGAGATAATTGCCCGCTTAACAGAGAACAACCGTGATAACGGATAATCGCATTCCAGGACGATAAGAGGCACACACCCTGCTTTACTTTACAGCAGACTCGTTCGTGTTTTCGTTGTTCGTGTTTCGAATTTCAGCGAAACGTGATTAAATACATGAACAGTAGAAACTCTTTTTGAGAAATTTGTAACACGGAACTTCTTATTTTTTTACCGTTAGAATGTCGTAGAAAATATTGTGTGTATTATTCAGTCGTTTTATCTCTGATTGTTTTTTTTTTTTTGTTTTTTGTACATCAGAGGAATATTGAAATTGGAAATATTTATTGGATCACTCGAATGTTCGACGTCTGAAATCATACGCCACAGTTAATGTTACGGGTCTTGCTAATTACGTTATTTCGGATGACCATGGATGACCTAATTTTCGAATAAAAAATGTTCAGGCATCTAAAAAATTTAGGCTCATAGGTACACTGACGAGCAAATTCGGCTTCCGCTAGGGGAAAAATTGAGGCTGGCGAAGGGGCTCCTACTATTTAATTTTAGCAAATTAATGAAATTTATGCCAAATAAACATTTGGTTCAACATTTATTTCAGTACCTGAAACTGCCACTTTTTCCCCTAGCGGAAGCCGAATTTGCTCGTCAGTGTACATGTTTTATGTAAAGGAGAATGTTAACTCCACAAAGTACTTATGGGTAATCTGGCAATGAAAATGGTAACAAGAAAATCGTGAACGCTGATTTTGATGCAATAAGTATTTCCAGTAGCACAAGGTCGCTCGTTGAACGATGACAAATGGCCATACAGATCAAAATGAAATACATTCTAACGATAACCTTCTTCTTCTACACTCACGATTTACAATTAGTACAACTGTAGCTTTGAGTACGTAATACTTTTTGCGGGGCATCCCGATACAATAAGTTGCAAAAGTAACGAGGTGTACACGTATACATATGTACTTTCTAGGCTTAAGTGCTCGTACTATGCAACACCACTGACCTCAGTAAAAGTTATACCGCAATTCGAGGTGCTCCCGTGCACACTGTTTTTATTGTGAATATCGAGAGCCTAAGATCGAACCGTCGTCGAGCACAGTCTGGCCGCGTTGTCGTTATTAATATTGTCGATACTACTTTAGTCGTATGTAACCGACGCAGAAGCAACAGCAACACGAGAATGCAAAATGATTAATGTCGAGCGACCAGAAATTTCGCGAGGAACGTATTTATTGTTCTTCGGCTGTTTCGTCGCAGCTTTTACGCGGTGGGCAAATCGTGTCGCGCGCTCTGACCGTTCGCGACGCGTTTTGCATTTACAAGCTCCTCTCGATTATCGTCTGTCTTGTTCTACACGATTATTGTCCACGCGTCATCCCCACCACTGGAGGGGGGGGGGCGTGTAACCTCTCAAGCGCATACTTTGTTGCTCCGCCATTTTTGTTGCCGAGGCACGGGCTTCGAACAAAAAACGAATTTACGAGGGTCTGAAGCATTTCTCCTTATAAGATTATTGTCCTGGCGCAGACCAGAGTTCGGGACGATAACCGAGAGGATTCTGTATCTACGTTTCTCGACTCTTCGCGTTCCTCTGTCGCGATACGCAACGGGACACGGATAAAGAAGAAGGGCGAATTGAGCTCTGTGAAGTCCCGGTTGAAGCTCGAGCCACGCGAGGAGGAGACGAAAATTGTAAACATTTCCGACCAAAGTTCGTCATATCATATTATAATATTGATGATTTTAACAGATTCTCTCCGGGGCTGAGATCTATTTAATTCCTAAATTAAGAGCTCGATTAAGGAACCGGCCGATCTATCAAAATATTTTAAGCTTGCGCGTGTTATCACGGTGATTTCATATTTCCGATTTGTTAGCTGAAAAAGGGAAGGAGAGAAAGAATATATATTATATTATATATATATAGATATATAAGTATCGACTGGGTGAAACGTAAATACGCGGTGGGAAATTATAACTGTTTCGTTGGGAAGAAACGCTTAAATATACGAGCGTGGTCCGAATCGTACGCTTAACTTATACTTAACAGTATTTCTATTATATTCTACGTACCAGGAGAGGCACGTAACATTTATATTAAAAAAAAAACTATATATATACATAAACGTATATATATATATATACATATATACACATATATACATATTATATAAAGATGTTCTTCTTATATGTATACCGTGTCGTAAAAACAATCAACTTGAGTATCTAAAGCCGCGTCTCCATTGAGGCGGCATTTGCCATACGGCACAGTACTACCGAACAGTTTAGTCGATTGACTTTTTCAATATTTATTAAAAATAAGTAATTTTGTCGATTTTTACTTTTTTACGTAAATAGACTCTAAATATTACTCGGAATATCATTTATAATCTGTCCATGTCAAACAGAAAGGAATCCACCGAATGTAATAAATAGTTGCCAATTATTTTTTTTATGTTTACCGAGATCAGTAGGGAAACGAATCGACATGTCGTTCGGCTTTTCAAGCCGAGTCCAAGTCCACGCACGTGTCTACACATCGAGCGGTTATGCCGTCTGACAAATGTTGACGCAATGAAGACGCTGCTTAATGCAACGTGCTTTCAATATACCAAACCAAAGTATGTACTTACAATTACAAACAATAAACGTTTGAAGGTATGCACTACTGGCCAGTCATTTAAGAACGTCAAAAAATGTTTAATTGCTATTCTTATACAATCCGAAATAACTATAATTTTCATGCAGATACTTTTAAAATAACGGGAAGGTACCTAGTTTCATTCAGTGAATTTGTTCATCCTAATTTACATAAAAATTATTGTGGTCAGCAGTGTACATGAAATCGTTCTGAAAATATAAGATATTCCCAAAGATGAGGGCACTTGTTTGGAATTTGATAGAGAATTGAATTCTAAGCAAACACGTTATGTTCAATGTTTCTTTGTGAAATCGTCATTATAAAAGGTTGAATGTCATAACTTTCGGCTTTTAGATTATTTTTTATCGATATGTGAAAAGTCTTAACAGCAAACAGTAATTTAATTAATACCAATAAGATACTAAATATGTCTACAAGAAGGTGGGATATATTCTGAACAACCTTTGTGATAAATTATTATTGTTGTGGATACAGAAAACCCACAAGTTCCTTTCATTACAATTTCCTTAGCTTCCAACGTGGAAGTAATAGTACAAAAAGATATACCTTTTTAAGGAAACACGTACAAATGTATGTTTATCAGACATCATTTTCGCGGAATTTCATTTCCTATCATATTTTAAACGACACAATAACGTTATTTTTAAAAGCACCTTGTATATGTTACAAAATAAACTTCGTGTCTCTACGTTCATACAAAGTATAAACTGAGAAAAACTTCTATGAGCACGATATTTGTATCAGTGTTTCTACCACCGATCTACAAACGCTGATTGCGATGAACGAAGCGTCTTCTATCGACATTCCGCGTAGTTCTTATATCAAAAAGCACTGTATCGTCGGACCTAAATTTGCCTTGCACTATAACGGCGTAGCAGAAAGAAAAAGCCCACTACGAATGGGCTACGATTGTCGTACAAACGATTGAACAAATAAATGCGGTTTACAGCGTTAGCAGCCTATCCATGGGCAAGGCAGGTTTTTGTGAATGTTCTCGAGGATATCTTTTGTCTCACTGCGTCGTAAATAATGTACAATGTATCCTAAATGTGACGTATAACCGATATTTTCTTGCAATGTACCCTCATGATTCGAATGAAAATAAAGAATCACTTATTTCCGTCAAAATCACGTGTTCCCCGCCGTTGCTACTACATTTTGTATTTACATAGTTCTTAATTGAATGCATTAAGAACAATTGTTGAATGTATTGCTTGCATTACTCAAATGCAAAAACTTCAAGCGTGAACAGGAAAAAAAAATTGTTTATATTCTGTCGAAGATTTTATAATATACAGTTTGTATTTACAATGCATAAGAATGAAAAAATATTACAAACTCGTTCTGTTACATATTTCTACGTATACTAAAGAGAGTATTTTCATTTACAAAAGGTATTTGACACGCGATGCACTAATAAATAATACGCAACCCTTTTCTGTGCGTAACTAGGTCCGATTAACCTAATACAAAACTCTTCGTTAAACGTGTCAACGTACAGCTATGAGACATGTCCTATGTTTAACAAAATTATACATCTGGGATAATTCTCCATTGTATTAAAATGTAGAATTTACATTTCTGATTAAGTTATCTGTGTCAACTATATCAACGAAGTCTTTTACACCTTTTGATCGGACGGATAAAACTATAGATCCGCCGCTTTCGTGCCACTTGGCTTTGAGCATCACGCAGCATCCTTTTTCTGTAAGTAAAAAAGTACTTTATTAAAATCCGGAATAATTCTAGAACAGAATTAAAACGTAATACATACGCAATTGACCACGTTCATAAGCAGCAGCCAGCTGATTAATAACACATCTTTCAACTTCATATTTAATAGATCGAGCACCGTAATGTACATCGTATCCGTCTGCTAAAATTGATAGGACCTCCCGATCCCATTTTAAGTCTATCATATGCCTTTCCTTCGCACGTACCGCCCACGCTTCCAATTCTTTTGCCACTAGCTTCATAAGCTCCGATCGAGAAAATGGTAGAAAATAAACAATTTCATTTATTCTTCCCAGAAATTCGTCCCTTCGAAAATGAGCTTTCAGTATAGGCCGTACCTATGACACGTAGAACATTTTAAGGATTCTTATAGGTAACTGACATGTGGATTCTATAATAAGGACCAATGGTATTTTACATGGAATGCAAATTAACACATACCACTGCATCCTTAAATTTACGCGATATTTCAATGTTTCCTAAACTTTGATCCTCATCGGAATCTTTATCCAGTCTACGATTTAAAACTCGTCGGGCCTCTTCCCTAAGTTGTAACGCGTGCTCGGCAATTACTTCGCTCGCTAAATTCGATGTCATTATAAAAGTTGCATTTTTACACTCGATTGTTTTTCCTTTGCCGTCTGTTAACCTTCCCTAAAAAAAATTTGGCATTATTTCTGGTATCTTGTATCAATATACAGTATCAAAAACATTAATACCTCGTCGAACAGCTGTAACAGAACTGTCAATACATCAGGATGAGCTTTATCAACTTCATCAAATAATACAACAGCATTTGGGCACTTTCTCAGAAGTTTTGTTAATTGCCCACCATCATCATGGCCCACATACCTAAAGAAATTAATAAATGGACACAGTACTTTTACAATACCTAAGTATGTATTACATGATGCAACTCTAATACATACCCTGGTGGTGCACCAATCAACTTAGCAACTTCATGTTTTTCCTGGTACTCGGACATATCCAATCTAATAAAGCCTTCCTGCTTATTTTTATGAATGTATGCAGCTAACTGTTTTGCCAATTCAGTTTTTCCAATTCCTGATGAACCTAGGAACAGAAATACCAAGGGATGTTCTTCGTCGATCCAACCATTTTCTTTTCTCCTAATCGCTGTAATGATGCAAAATGTTATGAATTTATAATTTACATATGAATCGTTCAATTTGTAGACTAAAATAAATCTTACTGGATGCTACAACAGATAGACTCCCTTCTTGACCAACAATATGTTGTTTCAAACGTTGTTCTAATGGAAATCTACGACGTTCTTCTATTTCCTATTTTCAATATGTGATAAAAACATGGATCAGAATTAATGTTATACAGGAATTAATCAAAGCTTACATTAAATAAATTATACTTTTTCCTTCATTATTTCATCATATTTTGTAGCATGCTTTGTGAGCATTTCTTTCAGCTCTCCATCTTTGGCATATTCCACTGCACGATGACCAGACTCGTTTTCTATTGTTGGATCTGCTCCTCCATCCAATAATGCTTGAACACAACTCTTTGAATCTGCTAATACAGCATAATGTAAAGGTGTAAATCCTTTGAAGGTAGCTCTACTATTCAAGCGATCAGAAAACTCTTCTTCCCTTATCATTAGTACTGAAAATTTTGGGAAAATATGTTCCAAAAATTAGTACAATACCTATTAGTACAATGTACTATGTTAGTAACTTAGTACAATATAATTTAACTACTATAACTTTGTTTTTCAATCATATACCGTCTAAAGAATGTATTCCCTTGTCTTTAGCAGTTTTATAGACATTAACAAATTCATCCCCTGCATTAACATCAACACCTTTCTTCAATAAATACTTTATGACTTCTAGTTTTTTATTAATAGCAGCAACATGTAAAGCTGTCCATCCTAATGGATGTCGTGTATTCACATCAACACCTTCTTTAAGGCTCTGTAAACAAAACTCATGTTAAATGTTCATATGCAATAAAATCTTCAATGAACTTACCTTTTCTAACTCAAGAATATTCCCATACTGGGCAGCCTTAAAGTATCGTTTCTCTGTTAAACAATATTCATTAAGCATTCTTGTGTCTTCATACATAATTCTTAAGATAAAAATGTATACCTCGCTTTGGATGTGATGCATCGCAGAGAGATAAAGTCAATCCAATACCACTTAATATGAATCCCAAATTCTTGTAATATTTCTGGTCATAGGTAGTGTCATACTTATTGAATGTCACTGTTCTCTTTGCCAATAAAGAACGAATTTGTTTTGGTGTAAGTACATCAAGTAGCTTATATAATGGATAAATATGTCTTTCCAATTTCCAACAAAGTTGTGCATAACCTATACCACTTTGATAAACAGCATTTTTGAATCTGCTAGTTTTTCTAACATTCAGAGTGCTGAACAACATATCTGAATTTTTAAGGTTTTTCATGCTCGAATAAAGCCACAAATTACACAAACGTAACATTTCATAAAAAGATATAAACTTGACAGATATGTACTCATACGTTCAGACCTTGTGTTTTCTTCTTAGGAATCACAACTTAATACTATTGATTGAGTATTATTTCCACGGTAAAGCATCGATATGTAAAATTGTTGATTAACTGCCAATAGTTGTATCGAGAAAATAGATATTACACGTGCCCACAGTAAATTTTTTACATTTCCGATTTTACGAAAGGCTCTGCTCCCAAATTACATTCTCATGTGCAATCGCTACCGCATTTTGAAACACTGGAATAATGTAACAGCAATCGCAATACTTTTATATAAAACAATAATAATTCTTCATACATTTAATCAGAATTAGTAATAATTTAACATGATCATAACGTACATGTCGTACAAATACAAACAGCATTAACGATTACAATCAAAGTATGACGCGATTGTCTCTGTAAACAGAAATTCTTTCCATCATTCATACATATCTTGATTTCCGTATCGCCGTGATACGATTTTAATGTGTTGATTGATTAGTGAATATTGGTATTTGGTTTTAACCAATTAAAACGTTTGAATTCATTTCAGAAGTGACATGTTGCCTATAAACCAATCATGCTGATGCGCGGATCCATGCTACATATAAATTCGAAATCCCAACGGGGAAAGATACGTGAAGTGCGAAAGGGAACATAAACAGGAATTCATAATTGTCATAAAACATTCGCTTCTGGATCTAGCAATTTCCTTACAGGGACACGTTTTTCTTATTGATCCGTTACATTCGATCGTTCGAGAATGAAAGCTTGCATTAGCCGCGTTCGGACGATTCCGGCGCACAATTCCAGAATGTTCCAGAGCGACCAACCAACCAATCGGAGTTGTATACCGCAGCGCCATGATTGGTGAATTTTCAGCAGAAGTTAGCAGAAAGAAGTAATCGCAGTCATCGTGCGGAGGGCATTTCGTTCACTCTATTGCGCGAGTAGAGTTGAGAATTAAAGAGGAATCGTGAATTTAACGTTCACGTTAAATATATCTACGGAAAGTCCAAGCGTTTAGCAGTCAATTAGAAATCCTTTCTCAAGGATAAACATCGAATATACGGTCTAAACTCCGACGATTAATTCAGGTGTCGCGAGGAAAACGTTGAATCAGTCCTATCAGCCATGGCTGCTATGTCCGTGATTGGAATCGACTTTGGCAACGAGAGCTGTTATGTGGCCGTAGCACGCGCTGGTGGTATTGAGACAATAGCTAATGATTACAGCCTTCGAAACACACCGTAAGTTCCTTGTATGCGAATAATCGTTTCCTCGATTGTTTATCGTAACAAGATATACCGGTGCACCTTGTGCCGGCCTTCGTGTTCTTTGCCATTTATTGTGAATCTTTCTATGGAAAATTTATATGGATAAAAGAGAATCCAATCAAAAAGAACGCCGATTGTCAGGTGGTCACTGCCATTTATGTACAAATCGTTTTGTGTATTCGGTTCTCTCGCGCTCTTACTTTCACATGACTAACAAAACTTACAAAAAAGTCCATCGCGTGGTTGTGATCGATGGAGCTATTTTTTCCGTCTTATTCAAAATTTGATATGATACCGATATGAATAGGATTTGCCGTCGAGCTTACGAAGGTTTTTTTTTGTGAAATTTATTAATTATTTCAAACACGTGAATATACCTGTATTTTATTTTCTATGAAACAAAAAAAAATGTTACGGGAGTATGATTAAACAAGTATTGAAAAACTAGGATACGTCTTATGTACGTGATTGCGTGCGGATCAATCCGAAACGTTTGTTTCATTTATTTTTGCTGAACAATACCATTGAAATATCGTAAATATATCAATCTGTACATTATGAACGTTTAATAGGGATTAACTTTTATTTCAATTTTTTATTCTTTTTTATGATAATCTAATCTCATGACCTTGAGGGCCATGTAAGATTTTGTAATAAAGATGCCTATAAGTAATGAACAACTTACTGCCTTTTAATACTTGTGTAATTCCTATTGAGTTATAAGGTCGATACGTATATATTCATATGATTATTTAATTATTGTAGAAGCAACGTGATTACCTATATATGTATACATACAGTGGACCCTGTTTATAGCGATATTCAAAGGAGAGAGAAATTAATTATTATAAGCAGACTAAAAGCAATGTGTATAGGAACCGAACTTAGAGAACAAGTCGAATGCAATATATGGTCTGCTGTTATAAGCGGTGTCGCAATAACCGGACTCCACTGTATATATATATATAGGTAGAAATGAATGTATGTATACATGTTTATATCAGCTGACATCAATTTGAATTACTTTTTTTGTGAAATCGTTTATTTATATTTTAATTAATGAAACTGATTGTTGGTTTTAGATCATGTGTGGCATTCAGTGGAAAAAATCGAATTCTTGGTGTGGCGGCTAAAAACCAAATGGTCACCAATATGAAAAATACAATTCATGGCTTCAAACGTCTATTAGGTAGAAAGTACAATGATCCTCAAGTACAGAAAGAACTTCAATTGTTACCTTTTAAGGTAACTCAGCAGGGGGAAGGAAATATTGGTATACATGTAAGTTTTTGTTCGTTTGTTATTGTTTCTAATATGTATGATTAAGTGCAAAATAATCAAAACAATTGTAATCACATCAAATATGTACATTGATATCACGTTTTATAATTATTCTGTGTGACTTTATTTTTATTAGAATCCATGCATAATACGTGCTATCAATGTTCTTTTTAATCTGACTGGATTCAATATTAACCTGGGCATTTTGCCAGGTTCTCACGTTTGTGTGGACTCTTATCTTATTTATATCACTTTAGAGCAGTTAGATTTGATGAATCATATTACCTGTAGTGTATATTTTACATAAAACACTAATAGTAATAATTGTATGAATGTTTTTAGTTTGTTTACCTATATACCTTTGTTTATAAATTCTAGGTACAATACTTGGGAGAGGAACACATCTTTAGTCCTGAACAAATCACTGCAATGTTGTTCACAAAATTAAAGGATATATCTGAAACTGCTCTTCAAACTGTTATTAACGATTGCGTTATTTCTGTTCCTTCATATTATACACAATCGGAGCGTCAGGCGTTGCTTGATGCCGCAAGAATCGCAGGCTTGAACGTTCTTAGATTATTCAATGAGACAACTGCTACTGCTTTATGCTATGGTATTTATAAACAAGATTTACCTGCACCCACAGCAACCCCAAGAAATGTAGTTTTCGTCGATTGTGGATATGCTAGCTTGCAAGTAAGCATTTGCGCATTCCACAAAGGAAAACTGAAGGTGTGTAATAATTTTTCCTAAGCATATGTTAATCTCATGGTTTACAAGTAAGCCGGAATAAAACAAATAAATAAATATTGTTTCTAGATGTTAGCAAGTGCTGCCGATAGTCAGTTAGGTGGAAGGGACATAGATTCTATTTTAGCTGAACATTTTTGTAAAGATTTTCAGTCACGTTATAAAATTGATGCACGTACCAATCCACGTGCATACGTAAGGTTACTAGCGGAGGTAGAAAAGTTGAAGAAGCAAATGTCAGCCAACTCAACGATGCTTCCCCTTAACATCGAATGTTTCATGGAAGAGAAAGATGTACACGGAGACCTGAAACGTGCAGATATGGAAGCGATGTGTGCACATTTATTTAAACGCGTGGAATTGACATTGCGGGCATGTTTTGAAAGCTCCAGTAAGTTCCATTTCAATCGTGTCATTTTTATTTATGCAAGAGGTACATTTTGCCAATGGTATATTAATTCGCAACGTGCTGTTTATAGGATTGAAAATGGAGGAAATTCATTCGGTGGAATTAGCGGGTGGTTCTAGTCGTGTACCTGCTATTAAACGATTGGTGGAAGAATTCTTTGGTCGACCTGTGTCCACAACATTGAATCAAGATGAAGCTGTCGCTCGAGGTTGCGCGCTTCAGTGCGCAATGTTAAGCCCTGCGGTAAGAGTACGTGAATTTTCTGTCACGGACATTCAACCGTATCCAGTGAAGTTAACCTGGAATGCTGTTCAAGGTGAAGACGGGTATGTTTTATTTTATATAATGCGTTCACGTCATACTTAATCCTTGGTCGTCGGTGCCTGAGGCTATTTTGACCCAGAATTTCAAAAAATCCACGCATCATTCCAGCATACATACAGAAACGAAGTAAACGTACAGTTGTTCATATTAGTATTTTATAAAATGAATAACATATTTTCAAAGAATTCGTTTCACAACGCATCTAAAGTCAGATGAGTAGGGGTCTGTCTGGACTCAGGTACCGCCATGTATCCGATCGTCAAAAATGTTCGCCTCCGATGGTTACTTAGAAACAAACGTTTCATAATATGCACCTTATTGTTTCAGTGAAATGGAAGTGTTTGGACAGAACCATCCTGTACCGTTCTCAAAGATGTTGACATTTTATCGATCGAGTCCATTTATGCTCACTGCGACTTATAACGTACCACCGCCCGGGTATCCTCAGACTCACGTTGGTATGTGCTTAATGTTTACGTCCTGTATGCTATTAGGATGTTATATCCAGTTATAATATTCTTCTTATAGGTGTGTTTGTAATAAAGAATGTAAAGCCAACACCAGAGGGTGAGTCTTCGAAAGTGAAAGTAAAAGTGAGGATAAATTTGAATGGAATCCTCACTGTTGCCTCGGCTTCCCTTGTTGAAAAACGCGAGCTTACGCAACAGGAGAAAGAAGAGGAGGAAAAGAAACTTCAGCAGCAGCAGCAACAACAACAACAAATGGATGTTGATCAACAAGCGGAGAAAAAGGATAAGCCTGATCAAGATGCACAAGCAAACGAACCGCCAGCACCAGAGGTATGTAGATGCATGATTCCGTTTGATTTCGATTTCTTAAATATACGTTTGTAAGTTACAAAGTAGCTTATATGTAATAATAGTACACGATATTTGCCTTTTAATGTGCTCATAAAATTGTATATTTTCCTTTTTTTTTTTTTTCTTAATATTTAACTAAATTATAAGGTCTGCTAAATTGATTTTATTTAGAAAAAGATAGATGGCTTTATTAACACTTGAGTTCCAACAAAGTTACCACGTCTCTCTCTCTCTCTCTCTCTCTTCGAAGCTAGTTTTCATAGAAGTACAAAATTCATATGGTCATGAGTGTCTGGTGCATAACTATGTGAGTTTATTGTGGTTTAGGTAAGCATGGATAAAACGAGACGGAACTCAGATGCTGATGATGGTGGAAGAGGTGCGAGGGGTTCTGCCCCTTCCTACCCCTCCAGGATTCTCTCTTGGTTCAGCTCGGTACGCGACACACTATCATTACTTGGACCCATATGCATATGTTAACTTGAAACATGTGCAATGATTTTCGAATTTTGCCTTAGAACGTTGCATTGTTAATTCGTACTGGCTACACGAATATCTTTTCATGCGTGAAGGTGATATAGATCTTTTGTTTCTTTCATCACGTCAGCATCGTTAATCACTTGTTGCAAAGATCACTGCGACCCTAGTCAAGTTCAAATATCCTGCATGATTGTAATAAACACGTGTTATAAAAATAAGACTGCAAAACGTACATATAAATATATACATATATACACAGTACTGTTTAGTACGAACGATTCTTTCGTACTAATCAAGACCGTATTCTATATCTGTTTCTTTTTTATTTTCAAGATGTACAAAGAAAATTTATATCATGCTAAAACGTTAAATCTTTGAAATTGTGGAGCAATATTTTGCCATAGATTGTATTTGTTTTTTTTATTTTATGGAAGTTTCGAATGCTTTTATAAAGTGGTTAAATGTTACCAAAAAAAAAATAAGTAAATATAAATGTGCAATGTAAATTGTGCGTCACCAGAGAAAAGCTTGTTTATCGTAGCTCATTTAGTGCATGGCATTAGTTCTGTTCAGAATTTTCAAACCTGTATCGATTTCTTCTGCAAACTCGGATTAGAGTCATATTATGAAAGAATTAACAAAATCAAAGTACATTAGTCACATGGTAACTGAATGGATTTAAATATTTATAGATGAAAGAATGTGCATAATATGATTCCCTAACGTGTCATAATGCATATGGGTCCAAGGTACAGCTGTGTCACGCCGTGCTGTCTGTCTTTGCTCTGTTATTCTTTCCACTGGGTCGCAGAAGGAAAAGAGACAGTAATTTTTAATAACTTGAACAGTTATCAATACTCCAAAAGAAAATTGTGAAGGCAGGCATTGCGGTTCGGTTTTTGATTCGTGTTATATAGCGATCACTTAAAAATAATTCTCATTTAACAGTGAACGAACGATTACGAATTGAAAACCGTTCGCATAAAATTATGCCTCTCTTTATCCTCTGCTCATTTCTACCATCACCTGATTTCCAATTTACTATTGTGTATTTCCGTAGCAGGTATTTCTTTTATGTAAAAATATGGCGCCGTTATATTTGTTTTATATGTTGTAGCTGTAAGTTATTGGTAATAACTGTTGGCAAAGAAAGTGGCGTTAAATGCGAAGTAAATTGTGCAAAATGAAAAATCCGATGTGCTTTCGCTGTCGAGTGTTTTGTACATATATTCTCGAAAGTTTTGCGCGAAAACGAACTTGCATTACTTAAAATATATTAGAGTGACTAACTTATGCCTTACTGTACTGCTTTTCAGGGAGACGACAAGGGCGAGGACAATAAACGTAAAAAGAAAGTTCCTGTTTGTACCGTTGACTTACCAGTGGAGGTACATGGATTTGGTCTTTCTCAGCGTGATTTGGATGCTGCACAACAGAAAGAGGTATGTTGAAAACTAGTGTGACATATAAATTTTTACGTGTAGTTCAGTTTATAAACAGAGTATGTATACATTGTGTTACAGTGCAAGATGGTATCCGAAGATAAACAAGAAAAGGAACGCGTTGATGCCCGTAACGCGTTGGAAGAATACGTTTATGATTTACGTGCTAAAGTGTCAGACGAAGACGAATTAGCCACATTTATTACAGAAGCAGACAGAGAAGGACTTTGTCGCACGCTAAACGAAACTGAAGAATGGCTTTACGAAGAAGGAGAAGATTGTCAACGACAAGTTTACGTAGAACGGCTAGTACGCCTTAAAGTAAGTAACGATGCTTTTTTTTTTAATTTAATAAATTAATTACAAGTCCTTCGCTTCTGACGTTTAAAATCATGTATATATTATTAATGTCTTCAGTCACAAGGTGAACCAATTAAAGAAAGGCGACAAGAATTCGAAGGCAGGCATCACGCGTTCGAAGAATTAGCGGGAGCGTTACAATTAGCAAAGAAAGCTGTGGATCACATTAAAGCGGCCAATGGGAAAGACGACAAATATTCCCACCTAACAGACGAAGAGGTGAAAAAAGTTGACAAAACTGTGCAAGATAAGTGGGCATGGCTAGAAGACAATCGCATGGTTCTTGCCAGCATACCTCGCACACAAACGCCACCAGTTACTGTTGCTCAAATACGCGCAGAAAAACAGGTATTGAAAGTGATAGCCATTGTAAATTATTTTATATGTTTCTGTTAATATTATATTTTACTAATTTTTCGTTTCATTTTAGTCGTTGGATAGTATTATATCGCCAATTCTAAACAAACCAAAACCTAAAGTCGAGATTCCAAAGGAAGACAAATCAAAAGATAAAAATGCTGAAGATCAGAAAAATTATCAAAACAACAGTCAAGGCGATGGCCAGCGACAGGCTAATCAACAACAACCACAAGAAGACGAGATGGACGTTGAGTAACATTCATCCCATTTTATATGTTTTAATACTATTGAATCTATCATGATTAAAATAATGAAAATTATTTCATCATACAAGTCATCTTTATCATGTCACAAAAGCACCTGATTCGTTTTTAGTTAGCACATGCGATCGTTTCGTTTTCTTTTTTTTTCCTTTCACTATTATTAGATGTGATAAGCTGACCTATTTAAGGACAAAACGTCAACAATTTAAGTATGTCTAAAATTGAAGAATTTTTTCCCTAGATTACAATGGAGGGAGACTGTATGTGTTCATATTAGATATTCAATTAATTTGACGAATATTATTTCGCTGGAACAAATAATGATACTTCAAGAATATTGACACGTAATTGAGAATGCACGCCAAAAATTCTCTGGAATATTTCATAATTTTTTTTTTATTTTAATTAATAAGGGTATGAAAGATTTCCCTCATAGGATTGTATATTTTCTATTTCGTGTTAAACTAAATGGCTAAACCAACACTGTATAGAACGTTACGTAAGAAATGTAGTTCCTTATTTTTTGGTAACATGTCGTAACCCTCCAATATTAAAAAATTCTGCAATTTTTAATATACTAATAATAGGAAAAAGTGTAACTAAATTTTCATCAGTGGAGTACTCTAAAGAGATCCCTGATTTCATTGCCAGTAGGAAGATTTAATATTTTGCGACCTATAATATATAGGACAAATGATAAGTTAGAACTAATGAATAAATTAAATTGTGAAGTAGATAATATCGCTGGCGATCTTATGTATTTAATAATGCAGTGAGCATTCATTCCAACACTTTTATCAGACCGACAGCAAAATATTCTGTCACACAAACTTTTGTTGCATTTACAATACTTAAATAAATTAATATTTCATTAACGAAGATTATTAAGCTTGTTATAGGATTTGCTTTGCAGTACCAGCTGAATGGCATTGTGAAGAAGCTAAAAAATTTCAATGGCGTATATATTACGGTACTTTATTTTCAAATGCTATCAAGGTTCGATGACATGAAATTTCTAAAGAAACAAAATTATAGTTAGATATATTGATGTACATAATTCATAGTGGTTCATAAAGGTAAAAATGTTTCCTCCTTGAATTGTATTCTATGTAACAAAATAGAAATAATTTAACATCAGCGTTTGAGAAATTTTTCTAGTTATTATGATTTTTCTAACAATTTTCAATGGTATTGTCACCTTGTATATTAATTATAAATCATTTGTTATATTTATTCTACGTAGAAACGAAAAAGAAAAATAAATATATTGCTGTTCAGTGTCATTAGGGGCGAATTCGTCTCAAGCTTTTTGTTACAATTTTTTTTTAAAACATTCTTTGTTTTCATCATAGAAATTATTCTTCGTATGGTTTTAAAGAGACGTTAAAATTAGCAGCCTAAAAACTACGAGCATTACAAATTCGCCTCTAATTGTCATAGTACTGTGATCATGAAGTGCACTACAATTACGTTATCCATCAGGTGTTATATATACATATACATATATATCTATATATATTGTATAATATATATATATATATATATTGAGGCACTATATAACAATCTACTGCAAAGTTATTTGAATATAAAACAAAAAAACATGTAACGTAATTATATTTCAAATAGGTGTATGTTACAAAGTTTGTGCTGTACAATATGCAAGTTTTGTGTGGGAATGTCTTTGCTTTTTTTATTTAGCATTTGTGTTTTGCATTAACTGATACAGTACAGGTATATTCGCCATCTACATATTTCACAGTATTCAATAAAAAGGGAATATTACCTAAATATTGATGAGAAGTATGTGAATTGCAGAATGTAATGCAATATAATGTAACATCTTTCTTTCGATGAGAATACGCGAATAAATGTGTTATCAAAAAGGTGTACTTAATTACATATATGTGTAAAACACTAAGGAAGGGTTAATCTCGTTTCGCTTGTGTCTTCGATTGATCGTCGAAGTATGCACGGAATATGAAAGCTCCGAGAGCCACGTGCAGCACAAGAATCGCGACTCCGGCTGAATATACATTGCTTGGCACATTATTTAGCCCCAATAAACCTAAAATGTACAAAAATATATTTTAATTCAAACCATGATTTTAATTCAGTGCAGAGCCATGCTAATGACCATCAATGAAAAGAATATGTAATCTACTGGCTAGAATCGTCATCTTAAGTATATACGGTATCCAGTAAATTGTAGTACAACCAGTAACGAATGACTACATGCAAAAGCAAATCGAAAATTTAGAATAAAGATTTTGCATATAGAGCATTGTTTACGAAAAACTCGATCTTGAAAATTCATGGGACACTTATATTTTTATACATATACCTCTGACTACTATGCCTATTATTCACAGCTTCTACTTGTGTATAAAAACTGCTGATGGTATGTATTATAGTGTTATTTGTTTTCTATTGCTTTTGCTATACCCTAATTTTCAGTTCATATTAAATTATTGTGGAAATTTATGATATTATACCACTGTTATTTATTAAAATTGTACCTTACATTTTTTTTTGCCTATAAGAATTTTCAATTGTACTGTGATTTACTGCATACTTTGTATATTACATTCCAATTTACTAAGTATGACATCTCTAATTTATTGAAAATAATTGCATGTATAAATTATTTTGTTCTCTTCAATTTTTCTTAAATGTTTATAAACAGTTATAAAGCATATATTCTATACCAACAATATAAAACTTAGAGCAATGAAATATTCAGATAATAATGCTAATTGCTTCCATACCATCGAAAATAAAGATCTTGCTGGTGAAAAATGACAGTACAGGTAAAGCTATTATTATTACACAATGAAATAATACTGTTTTGAAGACCTGGATCTCAGGCAATTCCTGAAAATAAGAGTGCATTGAATTTGTATCAAGACATACAATGTATTAAATAGAAAAAGCAAATAGAAGAATACTACCTTTAAATTCGACATCTTGGAATTATATCTTGAAATTGTCCTAAAAAATTCAATTACGATAAAAATTACTAAAATATGTAATTCATATACAACTACAATACGCAAAGAGTACATTTTGACACCTGTTCAAAGAAGGCATTGTAATTGTATGTAATATAAGCTTATATCGGTACTTGAAAAATCATGTTTCTATTTCTGTTCACTGGCTTACCAAATGACATAACACGTATAATTACCTACAAGTATAATATCGTCTAATAAGAAGTTCAGTACTTTATAATTCAATAAATTGACCGATCATTTTACAATAAAATACAGTAAAAATCCATACACCGATTCACTGCAAAAATGCTCGAGGTTATGTTATTCGGCTTAGTATACTGAGTTCCGTACTTCCGTGGAGTTCCGTCAGTGACGTCGCATCTACTTGATATTTTTCACTGGAGTTCCATAAACTCCAGTTATGGAAAGAGTTAAATATACTGGAGTATATTTTATTTGCGAATAGTGGTACACCTACGAGCAAACTAGGCTTCCACTAGGGGAAAAAGCGGCGTAGAAGAAAAGTCTCTTAGCAGTAGCACTTGGTAGAAGTGAATTGTCCATACTGGTCTGCACATCTACAGCTGATTCCAGCTGATTCATTCGGTTGTTTACAGGAATGAGGATAATAAAATAATACGTTTAGCAATACGTGTCATTGCCGAAATTCTCTTATCGATACGCTCAATTATGGGATGTTGTTACAGCCTCTGTAAGGAGGACAGCGGCCAGCAGGTAATAAGATTGAGAAGAATTCTTTTAATCGCAATTGTTTTGAAGCGTTACCTTATCACGACGTTGATATGCATTTAAAGTGCATGAACTTTTATCGTGATTCCGCCTACTTGAAGAGTATGGAGATTACATGAAATCATTACTTTTTACAAATAAAAATTGTACATAAACTATTAACTTTTAAATTATTTTCTGATTGAAACGTTCATTCGTCTTTCATGATTCATTTATAACAGTTATTCTTCATTCAATTGAAGGAAGTTTTGAAGAAACATATATTAATATTCACTTTAATATAAAACATAATAGTTAATAGTCTGTTTCAGCATAATAACATCTTTTAAGAAAATAATAGCAGGATAGTCAAAAAAGTGACAAATAGTTAAAGAAGAACATCAGTCGACAATCAATATGCATAATTTGTTTGGTTTGATTGCTACATTAGTGACAATGAAACATCTTCATTAAATACAAATTTTGCAATGTATGCCAAAACATTGCAAAGTTTTAGATATTTCACAAAATGAAAGTTTCTGTTTAATTAGACCTTTTTAATGTTTGAAAGAATAACAGCTTTCTATTCATTTAAAGCTTATTGGACAAGAAATTCCAGTAAATTGATTTTAATGTCTGACTGTTATCTTGAGCATAACAATAAGAAAATCACTGTTACTTTGACATTAATAACAAATAACAGTATCTTTTAATCCCTGATATAAACTTACAAGAACTAGTGTTAAATGAAATTAAAGTCTTACTATGTTGTATTCTTTATTGTACTGATATTGTATAATGTTTGAAATGATTGTTTTTTAATTTTTTTGTAGAGTGGGGAAGCAAATGAGAGAACACACTTGTTGATAGATCCAGTTAGTAATAACACAAGTATACCCAGAGTGCACAGGTATGCTCTCACATTTTTCATAAGATATTGTAGTATTAGATATAAAGCTTCTTTGCTTTGTTTTACCTTCCAGCGATGATTATGTTAACCAGTATGCAAGCTCTGCACCCAAGAAGACAGATGAGCAAAGTGCATTGAATAGAATTTTACATGAAACAGCAGCGTGAGTGTTTTTTTTTATTTATTTCTCTTTGTCTTTATACTTGGTTTGCACCTTTATGTCTAGTTTAAATACAGTACGACTAACATAATAACAAATACTTACCAAACAAGTCTGTTCCAGCAATGTGATAGATGTTGGGGCATTAGATTCACATAACTTGGAACAACATGAATATGTGGATAGATCACGTGCATATTCCAAACGTATTGAAGCTGGAGGACTTAAAGTCCCTGATAGCACATCTTGTCTGCTTAAAGATATTCCTGCTCCTGAAAGAATATTAGCTGCAGATTCTCTTGGATCTGGTGATCATGGACTGGTAAATAATCATGTCACACAACCGTGTGTAAACACAGTTATGTAAATTATTAAAAAAAATTGCTTTTTTCAGATTACCGAAATGCTCAATAACGCTGTCACGGCATTAGAAGATGTAAAAGTTGAACACAAAGAGGACTTAGTAGTTCCTTTCTTATCGTGATCTTACAGTATTTCCTCGGCAGGATTACAGCTGCATCCTGTTTGAGTGAAATTCGCGTATTGCATGACAGGGAAGAACATACAACGTTTTCAAAATCAATTTTCAATGCGTTAATCAAAGTCTGAATTTTTTTCAGAATTTACTTGAACGTGTTAATCAATTAAAAATTAAGATGTGGTGTATTATAGATGAAAGTTCAAGTACTATTTCTCAATAACAACATGTTAATTGCTTGACAGTTGCTAATGTACAAGGCTATTTTAAAATGTTACATGTTAAGGTGTTTCCAAGAGACCAGCTTCTAATGAAAGAAGAGAATGTGGTAATACTTTTCGATTATTAATATATTATATTGTAAAAAGCTGATTCACTGTTATTACTCTTCACTGAGACATACATTGGAGAACAATTAATGCAAAGGCTATTTTTTCATAAGTTCACAAACATAATGGTGACATAGGCTTACAGTTTCATGTATGTAAATTGAAAAATTATTTGATTAAGCCGATAACAAATTTTCTTAGCTTTCTATCAATTTCTAAGGAACTACTTAATATACATTAAATACTATTAAAAATGATCAGTAACAAATAGTTTTAGTACGAGTCAACAATTAGAAGTGACTTCATATACTCTTTAAGTATTTTGTATTGTCTATATTAAACTGTGTTTCAATTACCATGCACATTTTAAAGTTTGTCATGTTTATGTCATGGAAAACGGTTTTTATAATGTCAAGAGTATACACACATAAACTCCTGATTCAAAGATTTGTGATATTTCTATTAATTAGTTTTTTTAGTAACCTTATGTTAAAAGTTTTGAAATTTGTTAAAATTATATTTTTCTAAAACTGTGTTAATTTTTGCGCAATTATCATCTCTTATTAATTTATGTACCATGTAATGAACTGAAAAAGTCCATGAATCCATATGATATTAAATAGAAAATACTAGAACTACAAAGTTGACCATTTGTTTGAACCCACTTCGTTGTGAAAGTTGGTAGAAAAATATTTAGATAATATTAGTTTGTTTTAACTCCACATAATTTTTTCTGAGATATCCTTTCATGTTTTCTTGTAAAATATGAGCACTGACATGTTCCGAATGATTATGTAAAATACAGAAAGTTTTGCAAATTAAGTTGTACCACAATTTGATTTTCACCGATTCATTAAATATAAGTATACGATTACTTATATGTTTTACAAATTAAGCCAATAGTTTAATTTCAAAGTATAATTAATCATATTGTTATGCATACAAATTGGGACAATACCATTTTAAGTTAAATTAAAGTTTGGAGTGAATTTCTTACACCAGTATCCGTTTATTTAAAATTTATTGACTAAAAATTCCAATGAATAAACGGCAGGATCACGGTAAGAAAATTACTATTATTTTTAAATTAATCGCCGATTTTAACAGTTATATTCGAACTCTTTTTCCGTTTAAAAATTAACAGTTCGATCAGTCCTTGCTGTTAACGGATCGATTTAAAATTAAGCGGGAAATGAGCTGTTAGGAACGCGCGAAGTTTGACGAGAGCGCGGGAAGGTCGGGGTGGGGATAAGTCAAGCCAGTAGATTGGTTAGGCGCATCGAGGCGCGGAGGGGCATCGACCGGTCTGGCATCGGGCTGCTATCGGACTGGCAGGTCCCCCCGTTCAGTACCACCAATACACAAGAGCCGAGGACTCTCTATCGTCGACCATTGGTCCTCAATTTGCCGACCAATCATTGGGAAAGTGCCCACGAAAATATCCAATGTAAGTCCACAAATTATCAAACATCAACGGGGTACACGTACGACCGCGCACGGTTGCACGATTAACCGTGTTTTCGTTCCGTGAGCTGATCAGAGTGCGAGCTCTCGTCTTCATGACGTCGAAAAAGCCTTTCTGCCCGGCCATGTTTGTCGTGACGAACGTTTCTCGTTCGAAATCCGCGTCATTCGATGCCGTGTATATCGCGATCCGTTTACTACCCAGACAACTTGTCCTTCGACCTGCACGTTCGTCCGATAACCGTCACAAGGATACGAGGTTAATCATGCGATCGAAAGCAGGATGCGATATCCTTCGGAAGGGATTCCAACCCGACAGAAGGTGATCATTGCTGTCTGTCCTCAATTCTGGGTCCCACGTATCTAACATTCCGCACGTGGACCCTCGAACTTCAGTGTGCTCGCGCCACGTTGGCGATCTTTATCTGTACCTGCACTCACGCGAATTGCGTCTCGTAAAATTGCTGATTCCGTGTTGGGACTCTAACCTTTCCAAGTCCCTCACGGAAATATTATTTTTATTTATCTTCGTTTGACGAGACAAAGACGAACTGTTATACATGATTCATGTGACTATATACAGGGTGTCCCGAATATACGTTAAATATCTTAACTGTTGGAAGGCGGACGACGAGACAACCGTGTTCAAAACGGGCGCCGGGTCAATAATGATCTATAGTAAAGTGTTGCAAAACAAATTTTTTCATGAGAATGTTATTTTTGTTAAATTACAGATATTACAGGCATTAATGGTTTACAGGAGTTTGTCACAGGACTCCTTGAGCCACAACTTGTATGCGTGATCCGTCGTCCGTCGATGAAGGGTTGAAGGGTAGATTACTACAGTAGAATGGAATAAGAAATGTCTTGTAACACTGTGCCTGATCTTGTTTTTACTTTGCAATCGTAATATTTTAAGGTAGCAATATGATTTGGGGACAAAGAGTAACTCGTGTACATCGGTGTACATTCAAATTATCTGATCTATGCATTTTCAACTATTGGAGAAGGTGGTGTGTGATTTGAAGTATCCTATGATTCTTATAAACAGTGCACTTGTAAATGTAATGAGCAGATATTGTTTCCCTTGCATCGGGTTTTTTTACTGAGTAGTTGGAGAACATTGTCTGGTAACAAGTGACTTGTCCTGTAGTATGAGATATACATTCTTAAAGGATACAATCGCATGCTGTTTTATTTACAGTAAGATTTATGACTTGGTCAAGGCTTAGTGAAAATGGTCATAACTAGACTGTGGATTTTTAAAGACAAAAACAAAAGTAGGAAGTTCTTTCTTCCCTTGAGTATCTTATTGGGTTCGAAAGAAAATTTATCCTTCATTGTATTTCACAGGCACCTATAGGCTATAAATGCAAAGAATCTGCAGTCTAGTCATAACTTAGATGCTCTTTTAAGCATGAATTTGAAACAGTTGATCGTAACAATATCCTTTAGATTATGATGTATCTATGCGTGTGAGTTACATTTGTTTCTAAAATCATCTTAAACTTAACTAGTACCATACAGGTAAACTTTCCAGTAAATCTGTCAAGTTAGAAAACCCTACATTGATTGAAATAGCAGAAATAGATGAAAATGTTCCAAGATTTTAACGACCTAAAACAGGTCATTGCATGTAAGATATTTTTTGTTCCATTTAAGTTCATCTACCTCTCGTTAACCCATTTCAATGTATTATTGTAAGATTATTCCCGGTAACGGACAATGTTTATATATCGTCTATGTGTGACCTATAGGCTGAGCCATTGGTTAAACGGTAGAGATATTGGTCGACGGATATGCTGGGCTATCGGTGTCGAATGTACTCAAATATGTCGATGTGTACCTGGAACGACATATGCGATGTATTCATCCGTATATAAAAATTGATCTTCAAGGCGTGCATATACTTACGCGAAATCATTAACTTCGATAGGAGATATTTTCTAGCATGAGGGATCATTTTTATAAATTCTGTTTAGAGTTAGGAAGTGCTTGCGATGGACCAACTCGGAGAAGGACAGGCAGTTGTCGTCGGCAGTGCCGGCGGAACTGTCCAGGTTGTGCAAATGGGTCAAGGAGGTCAGGCAATGATGTTGCCACAAGCTATACAAGTTGCAGCACCGAATGGACAAATACAAGTTGTTCCAGTTTCTAGTTTAACTAATACAGGACAACAGATCGTGATTCAGCAGCCGCAGACACCACAAATCATTCAAACTCCAGATGGGCAAACATACATTTATCAACCAGTTCAATTAGAAGGACAAGTTCAGCAAACGCAACCAACAGGTATCATATTCAACTTATCGCTTATTGACTCCTTTATAAAACTAGGTATTTAATAGGTTCCATTTCTAGTAATTAATATCAATGGCAATCTCATGCAAATTGCTGGAACAACGTCGCAAACGGCAACGACTGCGGCAACCACAACACCAGTGCAGCCTTTAGCAAGTCCTACAGCAACAGCTTCTCAGGCAGGAAACCTTGTCATGGTACTATTAGAATGTCTCTTTCACTTACATAGTCGGTGTATACATATTATACTGACTTGTAGTGATTATGGAGCAACATTATCATAGGGTCGTATTCTGATGTTTCTCAATGAATGTGACTCTTGTTATTTCGTTAATATTTATGTTAAATTTATGCTTTCACTGTAAAATTTCACGACGTTTGGTTTTCGTTTTGTACACATAGATGGTACCAGGAAACAGTGGCCAGACACAATTTCAAAGGGTAGCATTACCTAATGCAGAAGTATTTGAAGAAGAGCCTTTATATGTAAACGCAAAGCAATACAGACGTATATTAAAACGTCGTCAAGCTCGTGCTAAGTTAGAGGCCGAAGGAAAAATACCCAAGGAAAGACCAGTAAGTCTTGATTTGTTGTTTAGCATCAGCTCTATACAGTTCTTTCTGCTACATCACTTTATTTGATTTTTCAGAAATATCTTCACGAATCTCGTCATCGACATGCTATGAATAGAATTCGTGGTGAGGGCGGGCGTTTCCATTCTGGCCAAGTAAAGAAACGAAAGTAAGTGTCTGTTGTTGCCTTATTACTTGAATTGGTTTTTGTACAATCAAAGCACACTGTCTCATTCAATATTTTACGCATATAAGAGTATAATGGTTCCAGTAGAGCAAACGAAAACTCCATGATTACCCAGCACATCACAACTTCGACCAGCACCAATACCGTTCGTACTATAGCAATAGCAGCAGCAAATGTAGGTGTACAGTATCACGACACAGACAACCTGACATCAACCATTGTCATTGAAGTAAGTATAACTTGCATGATACAACAGCAATGAATAGATTCTGTAACAGTTATGTGAATGTTCAAATATTTTTCTTTATAGAAACCAGCTATGCCACTTCAGGATATGATCTCTGAAGATGATATTGTTACCTCGAACAACCGCTTACTGTAGATAAATGTTTAAATCGGATGGGGTGGGTACTGCAAGTACCAAAAAAAGGAAAGTGTGTCAGTGACGAAGTTTTACTTATATTCGCGTTGACTTAAAAGAACACTTGTAAATAATACTCATCTTGATGCAAGGTTAGTGCTAGCATAATTATCGACGAGAGGAAAAAGCTGTAAAGAATTATCAAAGTTGTATATAATGTCCTTGCAAACGCGCTTAAGTCTTATACTTTTTTTTTAAACATCTTTTCTTTGCGTATATAGTCAAACACAGACCTGATAATACTGTTGCATCGTATCATGACACAATAGGAAACTTGATTATTGAAAAGTGAAACGATTCATATTTTGATATTTCCACATAAAATAATGTATTGCAGTTTAGTTACAACTAATATCAAATAGTTTTTTTGTGTATGTACATATGAAGCTTACAGTGTAACATATCGGGTGTAAGATGTTTGTAAAATTTCATATGACGAACGTATCGCTACATTAGATTGAGAGACTGAACTATAATTTATTGTCACGTGCTGGGTACCATATCTAGAGTAGATTTTATAAGCGAATTAATCTTAACTTCCATTGCAATTATGAACGAAGAGAAGTGTGCACCGATAAGTTCTTTTTGTACAATTTTTGTGTGCAAGTACAATTGATTTAGTCTAATGAAAGAAAAGCTTTATGGGATAATACTTAATTGTTAAGGAGATATTGTAAGAAATTCCTATTTCGTGCAGTGGCTTATTGTAAATAACACGTTTAATTTTGAATTGTTAAATATTTCGGCTAATGGAAGGAGGCTATGTGTGCGTGTCTAAATAGTTGCCCAAATAACTGGAATTTTATTGCAACTCATTCATCTTTCTTTTGTAACTATAGATTTTTGAAAAATTTTGGAAAATTCACCAAAGGTATAGCTCATTTGAAATATATAAAGACAAATGTATGCTAGATTCGATTAAAACAGTTTTGAAATGTTTTCTGGTAAATTAATTATTTTAAATCTACATTGAAACAACAGTTTTTTACGAAAAGGGAAAAGAAAATCGATATCACTTACAAACATTTTCGGATCCAACGATGTATTTCACACGATATAAATATCGGTATCTTCCCTTTGCGTGTGTAAAGATAATGTTTCACATTCACGAGCAAATATTTTGTAGAACGGGTCTGCAGACATTCAGGCTTGTAAATAATCTGTAAGACTACGAGTGTCAGATTTATACGGATTATAATAATATTGTGTGTCCAGCGTGGATGTGAACAAATGTAAATTGATGAGTAAAGTCAGGTGAGAGTAGGAAATAATATATTTGTAAAATAACTAAGTATGTACAAGAAAAACAACACGGATTGTGTTTTATAATAACTTACATGTGAGTCAATTATCATAATCCCTCCACCTTTAATTTTAAATGTACATTTTATTATCATTTCTGTAAGCATTCTCTATAAAAAATACAACTATTTTTGTCTAGTACACAAAATACAAAGTTAGAATATGTTGGACGGAAGTACAAGCTTCTTTTCCGCTGATACTTGAGAACATTCAGACCGTGGACTGTCTGGTCCTTTAATATATATTTTTGGTTCAACTGGTAATGGTTCCCCTAGTAATTTCTCTTTTATTATTTTATTTCCGGAAGCAGCAATTGTAGCGTCGTACTCTGAATCTCCAGTTCTGCAAAAGAATAATATCTTTGAATATACCTAACATAAAAGTAACTGTGTAAGTATTTGAAAATAATTTATAATTTTGTTTTAAGAAACTTAAAAATATTTTTGTCTACAGCTTTGATTTGTTGTGCAATTATTGATAACAAAGTAGATAAAATGGTGGCGCATGGAACCACAAATATCGATTTTTCGACGAGTTTTTCGAATGTAAATAAACGTGGAAATTAATATTTTCCATATTTTTAAATTGCGAATAAAATGATATTACCTTGTACGTAGAATCTCTCTTTCTTTTTCACTTGGCACCAAATTGTCCGGAGGTTTCTCAGCTCTGGCAGTACGAAGTAAATGGTCAGAAGCAATTTTCCACGGGTTCCTGTAAGATTTTCGTTGAACAGTTTCTGATATCACCCAATTTTCTGGCAAACGAATATCTTTCCATCTTGCATATATATTCACACGGGACGAATAATCACCTAGATTTACATAAAAATTTCCTGTGATAAAATGAACATATACGTATAGGTACACAAATTTCCTTTCATTCTTTCCATATATGAGTTTACATGTATCATAAATGTCCTTGGTAATTTTTTTATGTTTAAACATAAAAAAATTAGTCATTGTGTAACGAATTAAAAATGCCTGAACCTTTCGAATAATCCGAGATGTATATAGTTTGCAACAATTCATTTTCCTTTTGATCGACCAGATCTTCGTCTGGTACCGCTTCCGGAAGAATATTTTTCAAACGTGGATACTTGTCGCGGATCTAAATATTAATTACGTTTATAGAAATGGTATATTATATAGTGTATATAATACGAGAGGATAATGAAATTTTGAAATTTAATTCAATATGCTTAAATTATGCAATTTTTGATTGTATAATAGTGTTCAGTTGGCCGAGTGAGATATGGAAAAGATTGATGATAACGGAGAAACGCCCTTCTTACTACTCTAAAACGGGATTCCTTACCTTGTTTAAATTTTCTTGAGGATCTTCAGTTTGTTCCTCTAAAGGTAACGACAAATTTTTTCGACGAGTATTCAGACGTTTCTTATACGGCCCATTTAAGAGGTTCAATGGCGGTGGATACGTGGATTTCGGCCTGTATTCTCTCCGTTTTTCGGTTCCCGTACCCAGAAAATCCTTTTTATAAATCGTAACAAAATCACGGGTTTCGTCTTCTATCTCAAGAAACATTTTCTTCTTTTCTTTAAAATGCGTACATCGCAAAATTATCCCCGGAGGGACGAACCGAAATAAGGTTGCGTCGAAAGGGTAAACAAATTCTGAAGTTGGCGATACAAATTTGAGGATTTTCGAGATCAATATATCCCATGTGAATTTCATGGATTTCTGTGCAAAATCATGGTATTTTTAACAACAGCAATTTTTTACAGATGATAAAAAAAAATAATCTATTTTTTTTCTCAAGGACTTCATTCCTCGAATTTGCTGTTCTTGGAAATCTTGCAAAGCTTGCAAAAGAAATTTTTGCTGTGTATTTTTGTTCTCTTCTTGTATGTAGAGTTCTTCTCGATTGCGTCACGATTAACGGACACACCGTATTAATTTTAATTAATCACGAGATAATGCTAAAACAAGGCTAAAAAGGTAAAAAAAAGATAAAGAAATTCAACGCCTAATGATTCTCCGATTTCTCGTGACTCATTATAAGGGTATTATAACAAGGCCAGAGACATGGCACCCCTGTGTACTATAAACGCCAATTAGGGTATGTGCGACATCGAATTTCCCTGTTATAAATGTACGATCTTGTCGCTTACTTTTTCTTCCTTCTTCGATATTTTCTTCTCCCTCCCCACTAGAATACAACTAAAAAACGGACGCACCGTCTCTAAATTTAGCGGTAAGCAATTTTTCACTATGAATGAGACGAATTTTTCCGATATTCGGAAACACCGGAGAATATGTATTTTGTGATACTGTAATAGAAATCGGTATCCTGTGAGAAAAATCGTACTTAACGATATGAAATGAATAATAAATAACGGTCGTAGGGATTTATACTGGAGAGCTAAATCTTTAAACGGAACATGTCGCTTAAACAAATTAGTTAAATATGATATTTATTTGGGGAATATGAACATCATAAATAAACGAGAACGGTAGAGCGAGTTGCGGTATCGGTGCTCTCCGTCGGTGTCGACGCGTACCGAACGAAGCCGAAGATGGTCGGAGCGGGCGAAAGGGAGAGAGCGAGAGCGAAAGAGCGAGCCGCAGTATCGGTGCTCTCCGTCGGTGTCGACGCGTGCTGAGGAATTTCAGTGGTCTATGAGGGGAGGTGTGCGAGCGAGAGAGTACGGTAGAGCGTGCCGCGGTATCGGTGCTC